ACCCAAAGTTGGGTTGAAACAACCCAGCATTTTTTAGAGTGTAGGGTGATCTCTATCTAGCATATTAGGCTACTGTTTTTGAGAATCTTATACAAATTTTAGAATTTTTCAGGCCATTGCTAAGTAATACATTTACAAAGAATATAAGAAAAAAAAATCATAAATCATTAAACGTTTGCATTGCATTTTTAGGGATAGATAATCTTGTCTTTATTGGTGGAAATGTCTCTGAGCAAAGAGAAAAAAGACCAGGTGAGTGTCTCTGCTTTTCTTTAGTAATTGTAATAAGAATTAACATGTGTTCAATTCATTTTATGTGATTTTTTTCGTTTCAGAACACAGTGATGCTGCTTATCGGTAAAACCGGATCAGGGAAAAGTACAACAGGAAATACCATCTTTAACGAAACTGTGTTTCAGTCTGAAATGAGCTGTTCATCAGTGACCAGAGTCTGTCAAGCACACACTGGAGCTGTTAATAACAGGAGAGTGACAGTGATCGATACTCCAGACTTCCTCTTTTTCACTCACACTGACTTTGATTCAGACACGGAGCTGAAGAGAGCTCTTGAATTATGTTCACCAGGAGCTCATGTCATTCTGCTTCTCCTGTCTTTAAGCACTTTCACTGAGCAGGAGAAGGATTTCATTGATTGGTTTGAGCAGAAGTTTGGTGCAGAAGCTCTCAGATTTACTCTAGTGCTCTTCACTCACGCAGATCAGACGCACATAAGATCATTAGGAGAAATGATCAGCAGAAATACTCAGTTAGCTGATTTTATTAATCGGTGTGGTCAGAGACATCATGAGTTTAACATTAAAGCTCCAGCAAACAGACAGCAGGTGACTGAACTCATGGAGAAGATTGACAGACTACTGTCTGAGAACAGAAACTCCTGCCTCACACAAGAAATGATGCAGGAGACTGAGAGGAGGAGAAAGGAGGAAGAGAGGAGAGCAGAGAGGGAGAGGAGAGAGAGAGAACATCAAATGATATTAGAGAGAGTCAGAATAGAGACAGAGATGCGTGTCAGGAAAGAATATGAGGAGAAAAAAGCTGGGATACTGGAGGAGACATTTTGGAAGAAGCTCAAACATCTCTTTATTAAACAGATAAAGCTGAAATATGTCTGTGTAATTATGGTTTTTGCTGTAGCAACAGGAGGTGTTTTGGTGTGGAAGGAAGTCTCTTCACATGGATGGACCCTCAATGGTTTCATTACTGGAGGATCAGCAGCAGCTGCAGGAGTTTTCACAGGGATTCTCTGGAGATTGATGTTGAAGAGTCAATTTATCTGTTCATCTTCTCATGAGTGTCCCAGCACTGTTAGACAGTTATTACTGAAGACAGCAGGTGTTGTGTGTGGTTTATCTGCCGGAGCTGTGATTGGTCACTTTCTAGGAGGAAATGTGTTTTGCGTTACCGCTTTAGCAGGATTTGCTGGAGCCGCTGGAGCTTTTACAGCTTCATAGCTTTACAGATCACGATGAAATAATGCAGGTGTATTATTTGTACATTAGCACAAAATAAAACAAACACAATCTAATGTAATGCATCCGTATATTGTTAAGAACGTGCATGAGCATTTAAAATGTTGTGAAATTGGTTTTCTCAGTGAAAGTTTCTTTGAGCAAAGGGATAAAATTATACTGAAATGATGCGTCAGGTGACTTCCTGCTGATCGCATCTGTAATCCTAATAGATGGTAAAAGATGTGACGTCTGTCAGTAGTTGGATTTTATTGATGTTAATTGTGTTGTTTTGTGCTTTTAGAATCTTTAAAACATATTGTTCATGAGAAACGGGGATGGTGATATGGTGAAGTGTTGCTCTGTACTCTGTCAAAAGAAACCTCTCAGGCCAAGTTTAAAATGATGTGTAATGTCTCGCTTCAGATGTGTGTCTTAAACATGAATAAAACTGACCTAACTTGCAAACATGGTTTAGTGTCCTTGATAAGCTATCTCATATTCATACAGTTAGATCTGAGAAGTTTCTTCTAACAAAAAAAAAATAAAATTGTCAACAGATAATTAAAAACATCACTGTTAAACAGAATATATAATTTTTTACTTTAAAATTCCAACACATAATCTGACAAAACTCATTATGTATATGTTAAATCTATTTTACATTCAGTACCATTTACTGATCATGTGATAAAAGTTCAACAGAAGCCAATCATTTTCAGAAAGCTTAGTCAGCACTGATGCAAATGGCTGAGTATTGAGATTTTATTTTGAAATTTTTTCCCTATAGGCCAAAAATCCATATGGACTTTCTCAACCAACATAATGATTTGCCATAAGATCATGTTGCAAAATTAATCACTTTTGTGACGTGACATGTGGCCAAGTATGGTGACCCATACTCGGAATTAGTGCTCTGCATTTATCCCATCCAAAGTGCACAAACACAGCAGTGAACACACACACACCGTGAACACACACCCGGAGCAGTGGGCAGCCATTTATGCTGCGGCGCCCGGGGAGCAGTTGGGGGTTCGGTGCCTTGCTCAAGGGCACCTCAGTCGTGGTGTTGAAGCTGGAAGAGAGTGCTGTACATTCACTCCCCCCACCTACAATCCCTGCCGGTACGAGACTCGAACCCACAACCTTTGGGTTACGAGTCCGACTCTCTAACCATTAGGCCACGACTTCCCCCCATTTTTGTCAGGTACAACATTGGCAAGATATGATTTTGCTGAATAACCGACTGCATCTGACTAAAAAAAAGGCAATACATTTTGTTGCAACAGGCAATGAGAATGGAGATTTACTGCTTGGTAGAAGAGAAGGGGTTTGAAAATGGATGGACAGATTTGGTCAAAATGACACATTATGGCATCGAATAGTTTTGATACTTACAGTAATTGTATAAAATGTTGATTTTATATAAATCCAGCGGTTTATTTGTATACATTGTGAAAGAGATGGGTAAATACTACAAATAAATACGTGTAAAATAGAGGTAAAATTCCTGCTTAAGGCTGAATTAATTAATTAAATAAAAATAAAATAATTACTCCAAAAATAAATAGTCAAATTGAAATTCCTGTTTTCCACATTAGAGAGATTTGGTTTTGGGGAGTCATTCATTAACGGGATCAAAATTCTTTATACATCACCTTCAACCACTGTCACCACCAATGGACTAACATCACATAGCTTCACACTGCACTGTCCGGGGGACTAGACAAGGATCCCACTTTCCCCCTTACTGTTTACCATTGTTATTGAACCGTTAGCAGCAGCCATCCATCAAAACAGCTATATTGAGCTATAGTTCAAACACTAAATATGCACCAGAAAATCAGTCGTTATGGTGATAATTTATTACTGTATCTATAGGACCCACCATCGTCATTACAAGAAACAATTAACCTTATTTATTCATTCTCTAAAATGAATTCTCTGAATACTCTGTCAGCTGGAGTAAATATTCTATTCTTTCATTACATTCCAGCAGCTTGGATGTGACATCCCAGACACCACCAATTCCTCTATGCACCAATCACATCACATATCTAGACATTGCTGTTTCTTCCAGGCTGTCAGAGTTGTTTGGTCTTAATTTCACTATTTACTCAAAACAATAAACGATGATCTTCAATCATCCACTATGCATTATGGGCAGAATATCAGTAATTAAAATGACTGTACTCCTTAAACTAAACAATTTATTCTCAATGATTCCAACACAGCCCACCTTTATCTGGTTGAAATCTTTAGACTCAATCATTACCAAATTTGACTGGAAAAATAAGACTCCAAGAATGAAATTGACTACCCTCCAGAAACCAAAAACACAAGGAAGCACCACATTTCTACCAGTACTTTCTGGCCAATCAGCTTCAAAATATATACAAATCGATTCATCCTTACCCATCAGAAAATATAAAGTTAGATGTTAAACAAACAATTTGTGAAGATATTCATGTTTCAGACCTTTTTCAGTCAAACAATCAAAAAACATTCCTGTTTTAAAACACCGACAATAGCAGCAGCTCTGACAGCCTGGTGGAAATGTCATCAAATCACAAATACTCCCACCATCTACAAACTCATTAGAAATAATCCAGATTTTACAGTTAACAAAAAGCCACTTAACTTACACACATGGGCAGAAAAGGGCATCACACAACTTTGACACATCTTTCATAGTAATAACCTGGCCTCATTTTCCTATTTAGTCCAGAAACACGGCATTGGGAGTAAATGTTTTTGAAATACCTACAAATCAAATCATCTATCCAATCAAAAATCAACACTCCGACCATTAACCTAGACCTTTCACCTTCAATCTCAGAGCTAATTAATATATCCTCAAAAAAACTACTCTCCAGAATATACATAATAATATCAAAATCAGACAATACATTAAGCTTATCCATTACTCCTGATACCAAATCTGCAAAAATATCTTCCTTCATTACAAAAAATGTCAATCTGCAAATCATACAGTTTAAGGTACTTCATAGATTTCACTTAACTGGACAGAAATAGATTTACTTCAGAAACCTGCTCACATTGTACCCAAAATCACTCATGTGTTCACACCCTTTGGTATTGCACGCCAATTAAAAACTTATGGGAAAACGTAACTGAATCACTGTCTTTATGAGATGTCACATTCCAATGTCGCCCTCCTTCTGTATTCTTGGTGACACATTCGTAATCGATTTAAACGATATAAACACAGTTATTCAGTTACAGACAGAAAACTATCCTCATGAACTGGAAATCAAGGAGCACTATATATATTGCATCTTGTTAAAACTTACTAATAGATTAGATCTCAATGGAAAGCCTGTCCACTTCCATTCAAAACAATACACTAGAACAGTGCTTCTCAAAGTCCGGAATCGGACCCGGAGGGAATTCAATCCGGACCCGCCTCCATTTCGTATTTCAAGAGCACTAATTATATTTCCTACTTTGATAAACGCATGTTAAACATGTAAATCATTTGTTTCTCTCTTTTTTTTGGAGATGGTCCGAAATGAAAGCGAAGGCAAGATATTGAATATTTTCCTTCATGACATTGTTGTCATGACATCCAGTGAGCATATGACGTTTGACATAATCGGGTGACGTTTCACCGCTAATATGAGTAATGTACAGTATATATATATATATTTTTAAATTTTGTTATCACTTAGATTATGGCCTTTTGACTTATAGCAGTGTCCAGTGTTTCCCATACATTGAGTTACAAATAGACAAACCACAAATAGATTTTCAAAAAGGCTAAACTTTGTTGAATAAACTGAGCACTGCACGTTTCAAAATTAAATTGCAGCACGGGTGTTTTTATATGAATGTATCTTTGAAAAGAACCGACGGTCTTCAGAAAAGCTTTGATGTCATTTTCATTTCGTAATACCTGATAAAGTAGCATTTGATTACAGCCGTTACCGGAGAAACCGCTATATATATCTCCCGCTCCAATAGCGCCTCCTGCTGGCAGAGAATTAATTTGTATTTGCAAGTCTGTGGGAAAACTGTGGTGTCTGTCAGCAAACTTAAACAAAAAGCATGCTTCATTTACTCAAACTCTCTTTTATGAGATAAAGGGGGAAAAAAAAGAAAATCGGCCAAACATATCGGCCCAAAAAATCAGCATCATATATCGGCCATTATATATACATATATCCATACATCGGCCATATATCGACACTTAAATGAATTGTTTTGCCACTTTTGCAATTGTTATTAATGTATTTTGAATGCAAAGGGAACTTTATTTTTTCAAAAAAGTAATGTTTATTTGTTATGCATGTTATGTGTGTTTATTAAAAACAAGTTTTGTAATAACCAATTGTTCTGGTCCAGACCTTTGACACTGATGAAAATTCAGATTTGGACCTTTGAATGTAGACTTTGAGAACCCCTGCACTAGAATGACACCCCTCTTGGTCATCACTCATTACCTTCCGCCAGTCATACATGCCAGGCATTGATTATTATTAAACTTAGTTAAATAGATATTAAGTTGTTCTTGGTAATGCATCACACATTAGTTGATTCACATACATAAAAATAAAATAAAATAAAATAAAAACACACAGGGTAAGCGTGGCATGTGACTAGTGGCCTGGGGTGGGTAGTGTCCTGGGAGGTCGGGGGGTGGTTGGGATATATCCCTGGTGCCCCGCTGGGACTAACTTGGAACTAACTTGTAGCATGGCTAAGTGGGGGAACATAGGAAATATAATAATTTCATATTACTATGATTAGTATTATTTTTATTATTATTAATATCATTATTATTATTATTATTAGTGGTGGTGGTATTAGTATTATTGCTGCTAACTATATGACTACTGCAATTATTATATTCAGCCTCTTCCTCGACCCCCCACCCTCCCCCCTTCCAATCTTGAGGTGATTAGTTTTATTATTATTATTGGCATTATTAGTGTCATTATTATTTGTTTCTACTATTGTTATATCTGTTATACTTTTCTAGATATACCTTATTTATTCATTAATTTATTTGATTATTTATTTCTCTATTATTGC